CCCCTGCCGCGGGCGGCTGAGCTGTGGAGGCAGTGAGAAGGCTGCGTAACAGCAGGGAGGCCGAGACGGGGTTAGAGAGCCGGGTCCAAGCGCAGTCCGCAGTGGACCCAACAGCCCATGGCCAAACAGCCAAAACCACCGGCACACACAGAGGGGAGGAGGGACAATAGCGCAGAAGAATGGACGGTTGCAACGGCAAGGACCAGCAGGAGGAAGAGGCTCCCCCTGAAGCCTGAGGTGCCCTCGCAGAACCGCTTCACCGCTCCGCAGGCTGAAGAGGAAAGACCCGTCACACCAGGAGAGACACTGGAGCTGAGCGAGGCAGCCCGATCTGCTCCCCGTACAACCACCAGCGCAACTGAGAGAAGGCGACGGGCGACAGTAGCAGGCGACTCTTCTGAGAGGTACGGCGGCACCCGTGTGTCGACCTGACGGACTGTCTGGAGAGGTGTGCTGCTCGCCGGGGGCTCGTGTCAGGGATGTTATTGGTGTTATTGCTCTCTACAACTGCCTGAAAGGAGGTTGTAGCGAGGTGGGGGTCAGTCTCTTCTCCCCAGGAACGAGTGATGGGACGAGAGGGAATGGCCTCAAGCTGCGCCAGGGCAGGTTTGGGTTAGATGTTAGGAAAAACTTCTTCACCACAAGGGTGGTCAAGCACTGGCCCAGGCTGCCCAGGGCAGTGGTTGTGTCTCCATCCCTGGAGGTATTTAAAGAACGGATAGATGTGGTGCTCGAGGACGTGGTATAGATGGACTTGGCAGTGCTGGGTTAACGATTGGACTCAATCTTAAGGGTCTTTTCCAACCTTGACGATTCTATGATTCTATGTCACCAAGAGACCACCAAGCCTTGTACAGCCTCCACCGGCCGGAGGCATCCATTTGCTGACCTGATGCATGCTCTAGGGAGGTGTGCTGCTTACCGGAGGCTTGTATTAGTGATGTCACCAGGAGACTACCAAACCTCATGCGGTCTACTGATTATTATCGGCTGCTGTTGTTTCACATGAGCAGTCTGAGGAGTATCAAGAAGCATTACAGAGCGCTGGAAGCGGTGGTAAGGGACTCTGGAGTGCAGGTAGTTTTTTCATCAATCCTCCTGATCAAAGGGAAGGAGTTTGAAAAGGCCAGTTGAATCTGGCAAATCAACAAATGGTTGCAGGACTGGTGCCACAGCCAGGGGTTTGATTACTTAGACCATGGGACTTGCTTTGAGAAACCTGGTCTACTGGGGGCTGATGGGGTTCATCTGTCAGAGAAGGGGAAGAGTGTCTTCGGTCATAGGCTTGCCAAGCTGGTGAAGAGGGCTTTAAACCAAAGTTGCTGGGGGAGGGGAACCTCAATCCATCCCACTCCTACCAGTTGGGTGCCAGTGCCAGCAATAGATGCCCAGAGAATGATCGCAGGTCAGCAGGAGAGCACCCGAAGAGCAGCACAAAGGAATTCTAACCAGTAAGTCGGCTTCATCAGGGGTGCAACTTAAATGCCCCTATGCAACCGCATGCAGCATGGGGCATAAACAAGAGGAGCTAGACGTGCGCACGCCTGCAGGGCTATGATCTTACTGGCATCAGAGAGACATGGTGGGATGTCTCCCAGGGCTGGAGTGTTGGAATGGAAAGGCATGGGCTCTTTAGGAAGGACAGGCAGGGGAGATGAGGAGGGAGTGTCACCCTCCATGTCCATGACCAGCTGGAGTGCATGGAGCTCCGCCTGGGGATGGATGAGGAGCCGACTCAGAGCTTATGGGTCAGGGTCAAAGGGGGGCAGGGACAGGTGACATTACAGTGGGGGTCTGCCACAGGCCACCTGACCAGGAAGACCAAGCAGATGAGGCCCTCTACAGACAGAGGACTCCTGGTTACCTGGGATAGGGAGAAGGCTGAGGTACTCAGTGACTCTTTGGCCTCAGTCTTCACCAGCAAGTGCTCGAGCCACTCCGCCCAGGTTGCAGAAAGCAAAGGCAGGGACTGGAAGAATGAAGAACCGCCCACTGTAGGAGAAGATCAGGTTCGAGACCATCTAAGGGACCTGAAGGTGCACAAGTCCACGGGACCTGATGAGATGCATCCACAGGTCCTGAGGGAACTGGCGGACGAAGTCGCTAAGCCCCTGTCCATTATATGTGAGAAGTCATGGCTATCAACTGTTGAAACATAACCCCCATTTTTAAAAAGGGAAAAAAGACAGACCCAGGGAACTACAGGCCAGTCAGCCTCCTCACCTCTGTGCCTGGCAAGACCACGGAGCAGATTCTCCTGGAAACTATGCTAAAGCATGTGGAAAATAAGGAGGTGATTGGTGACAGCCAACATGGCTTCACTAAGGGAAAATCGTGCCTGAAAAATTTGGTGGCCTTCTATGACGGGGTTACAGCATTGGTGGATAAGGGGAAGAGCAACTGATGTCATCTACCTGGACTTGTGCAAAGCATTTGACACCGTCCTGCACAACATCCTTGTCTCTAAATTGGAGAGACATGGATTCGACAGATGGACCACTCGGTGGATAACAAATTGGCTGGATGGTCGCACTCAAAGAGTTGCGGTCAACGGCTCGATGTCCAAGTGGAGACCAGTGAGGAGTGGCGTTCCTCAGGGATTGGTATTGGGACCGCCGCTGTTTAACATCTTTGTCGGTGACATGGACAGTGGGACCAAGTGCACCCTCAGCACGTTTACCAAAGACACCAAGCTGTGTGGTGCAGTCAACACACTGGAGGGAAGGGCTGCCATCCAGAGGGACCTGGGCAGGCTGGAGAGGTGGGCCCGTGCAAATCTCATGAAGTTCAACAAGGACAAGTGCAAGGTCCTGCACCAGGGTCAGTGCAATCCCAAGCACAAATACAAGCTGGGCGGAGAATAGATTGAGAGCAGCCCTGAGGAGAAGGACTTGAGGGTGTCGGTAGATGAGAAACTCAACATGACCTGGCAATGTGCTCTGGCGGCCCAGAAAGCCAAGCGTCTCCTGGGCTGCATCCCCCGCAGCGTGGGCAGCGGGGCGAGGGAGGGGATTCTGCCCCTCTGCCCCGCTCTGGGGAGACCCCCCTGGAGCCC